TGTTTTAAATAGACAAATGCAAAAGGAAGTGAAATCACAATGAAATGTGTGTCTCAAAATACATATGGAAGCCTGAAACTTTGTGAGGAATATGACATGTCAGGGAACAAACTGTTCAGACCTATGGGACTCCCCATTTTGGGGAATCTCTGTGGATCCAGTCCATGGCCTACAGCTCTCTAGTGTCCCCCTGCTAAGGCAACACTTGGCTGCAGGCATGTGGCTTCATATATTGTGCCTTCTAGTGGAATGTCTTCTTGCTTTCTACATGTTTAGGTTTCCAAGCAATCTGGTAAAAATGACCTTTTCAGGGTATGTTGTCACCACAGAGCTTTTTTTTACTTGGGCATTGTCCTACTGAAGACCATGTATAAAAGTAATTTGAGTGACCTTTGGGGCCTTTAGTCACTTGGTCTAGTGGGAGGTGTCCCTGCCCATGCAGGGAGGTTGGAACTAGATGATCTTTAAGGTCCCTCCCATCCCAAACCACCCTACAATTCTATGACATTTCTCCATTACATGGCTTTTTTAGGGGTGTACAGAGAAGTACAGCTTTCCTTCTGGCTAGTACTTCTACCTACGCAATAGCTGAGGGAATAGAGAAGGTTTTAGACTTTCCAAAGGATCGACAGGCCATTGAAGGAGAAGGTCCATTTGCTGCTGCAGACAGTGTCCCAGAAGCTCTGGAGAGCTGCTCCCTTTGCCACACAGCAACAGTGACTTGTGTGTTGCTTTGCCATCACATACGTGCATGTAAACAGGACCAAACCCAGTGGATCTGGATTAATCCATTCAGGAGCTGTCAAGTCAGCACGTAGCACTGAACAGCCATGACTATGCTGAGTTACTCAGTGTCTCATTGTCATCATGAGCATTGTCCTTCCTTTTTCTCTGCTCAAATTTCTTTTCCAGAATTCCAAGAACATGTAGAATTCCACTTTCTTTGTTGTAAATTGCAAGTACAGTTTCCAACTTCCAAGTACTGGAGCTAACTCTCTTTTGGTAGCTGGTTGGTGTAATAGTAGATAAGCAGTGGTTGCCAAGAACACAAAATCTCTCAGTTAGGTTACCCATGTGTACACTGATATTTGAGGCTGATAAATTGATTTTATTAACCAAGGATCAGAGGAAGCAGAGAAGTGGAAATATCATACTCTTGCTGCTTTCTGTAGGAGAAGGGTAGATGAAGAACCAGCTTTGTATGCTCCCCCAGTGCAGGGCACCAACCTTCCCTCTCTGCCTTGCATAACAAGTCAATCTGTATGATTTGCTTAACTGCTTCCACATAAAAAAAGCTGCCAAACACTGACCCCTGAAAGACTTACTTCCCATTTATGAGTTAAAAGGATGTTCTTCATATCATATTTAGCCTCCTTATCAGGTAATCCACTGTGAATTAATAAGATTTTGCGTTTTTCCCCATTGCAGAGATGGGCTTCAGAGCTGAAAGACACACAGCATTATTTGCATCTTAAACAGCAAAGAGGGTTCTGTCTAGTGATAACAAAAGATGATGAGATTCTGCTGTTTCAATTGTAGTGCAAGAGTGTTCTTTGACTTATCATTTAAAGGCACTGTGAGACAAAATGGCACAAAACTTGCTTGGGTTTTAATCTGTTACTTAAGTGATCTGTTAAAGATGAACAAGGGGAGCTGAAGTAATCAAGACATTTGAGTCAAATTGAATAAGGTGGATTGTTTTATTTTATACTTTATTCTTCTTGTGGTAGACAGATAATAGCTTGCAGCCCAGAAACTGTTTGTTTGTGGCCTGGGCTGCATCAAAAGAAGTGTGGCCAGCAGGGCCAGGGAGGTGATTCCCTTTAGTCAGCTCTGGTGAGACCCCTCCTGGAGCACTGTGTCCAATTCTGGGGGTCCCAACATAGGAATGATATGGAGCTCATGGAGAAAGTCCAGAGAAGGGCCACAAAGGTGATCAGAGGGCTGGAGCAGCTCTGCTGTGGAGACAGGCTGAGAGAGTTGGGGGTGTTCAGCCTGGAGAGGAGAAGGCTCTGGGGAGAACTTATAGTGACCTTCCAGTACCTGAAGGGGCTAAAGGGAAACAGGGACATTTTACAAGGGCTTATAGTGAGAATACAAGAGATAATGGCTCAAAATTGGAAGAGAGGAGATTTAGGTTAGACATTAGGAGGAAATTCTTTAGTGTGAGGGTGGTGAGACCCTGGCACAGGTTGCCCAGGGAAATTGTGGAAGCCCCATCCCTGGAAGTGTTCAAGGCCAGGTTGGATCAGGTTTGGAGCAACCTACTCTAGTGGGAGGTGTCCCTGCCCATGCAGGGGGGTTGGAACTAGATGATCTTTAAGGTCCCTTCCAACTCAAACCATTCTGTGATTCAATGAATATCTAATAGTAAATCCATGGGTGGTAAAGGTGCAAAAGTGAGCACTGCTCCCTGAGGTATCAGCTGAGTTGTGTAGCATGGTTCAGAGGCCTCTAGGACACACCAGCTGTAGCCAGCTGTGCAGCTGCAGTCTCTGCATATCTCAGCAACACCTCCTTGGTGCTCACCTTCAGCATGAAGAGAAGGACTGGAGCATGCAGAGCAGAACAGTTTGTTGTTCCAGTCTTTCACAGGCTTTTAAACACAAATGTGTTTTACTGCTAACAACCTGTTTGTGTGGGGGAGCGGAAAAGGCAAGAAATTGAAGTGTCAACTGTGGGCATATTTTCCTCAGTCACTGCAAGGTTCTTTTAATTTTTTTTTTCCTTGCTCCCTCCATTAAGACTGTCCTCTTCTTCAAGCCATTAAGCAACTTACTGGGAGATGCCAAGCCAGAGGCTCTATAAAAAGAGCTTTTCTCAGCTTTTTCTCTTTCCTGCCTTTAGCAGCTGTTGCAAGAAAAAGAATGTTTAGCCTGTGTTTTACCTGAGCTTTGGGCTGCTTGTAGCCCATGTTCTGGTGTGAGATGTCCCTACTTATTGTAAGGGGGTTGAACTAGACCTCTAAAGGTCCTTTCCAACCCAGGACATGATGTGATTCCATGATTCTGTGTTTCTCCAGTCATAATCTGATACTATTTAACTCCTTGTACAAAAAACCCAAGAGCAAAGTGGTTGAAAACATGAAGGTGGTCACCTCCCTAATGAGTATGCTAGACATTTTTCTTCATGATTAGGGTTTTTCTTTTGTGTCTCTGCTGCAGAAGAGAATTTTAGCAATGGAAATTGTGGGAAGGAGGAGATAAGCAAGGAAAAGGCATCAAACTGTGGTTTGGGTTCCAGAGGAGCCTTTCTATGAATTTATTCCTTTGTGTCAACCCTCTCTTAGAACAGATTACTGGATTTTACTAGGAAAATTAAACAGGCTGTTTTAAATGAAACTGATGAAGTAAAATTGCATTTAACTTTGTTATATGGTGGGAATCTTTTTAGGCAAAATGTCAGTGATGAAGAATTGCACGAGCACACAGCACCTAGCACACCTTAGTCCCCTTTCTACCTTTAGTTTAGGACTGACAAGCACTTGATACTCAAGCTGTGCCTGGCAGTTTTTGTTGGGTTTTTTTTCCTGATTTACGTGCTGTACCCCAGCAAAGGAACTGGAATTAGCTAACATTTTGTATCAAGTACAAGCCAAAACCAATTAGCCTTTCAAATAGTTTTGCTTTGTTCAGCTCTACAGAGCAGAACACACACAGTAGTAGCAGTTTAGTTACTGAAGTTATTTGATGTCTCTCTGAATGCAAATAAAGAGCTGCTGTTCTGAGTGACTTTGCATAGTCAATATTGCAGCCAACTTTTACCTGTTGTCAAACAAAAAGGCTCTCTTGTCTGTCTTGTTCTGTATCTATGCACTGGTAATGTGGTTTGTGCTACTCACCTCGTCCCTAAAGCTAAAAGGAGTTTGAAAATTTGCCTTTATGGACTTTTGAAACGTAGGTTTCACTTTGCATTCTTACAGCAGCAATCAATTTTATGTCAAATGAGTAGACACGTGCATATCCTTTCAGGAAAATGATAGCAGCAAGTCCTGGTTACAGCAGAGTAAAAGGTGTCCTTGCCTTGAAGACAATGTAGTCTATAAGAAGGAAAGGTATGAGGAGGTCAGTAGGACATGGTGAGGTTTGTAAACACTCCTCTGTGAGGTTTAGTGGCTTTTAAAAATAGGCAGCAAAGGTTTCTAGTTTTTCTGTTTCATGTAAAACAAGGCAGCATTAGATAGGAGTTAATGAAAAGCAAAATGAGAAAGGAAGGTCAGTGAAGAAGGAAGCAAAAAACAGCAAGAGACTTGCAAGAGACATTTCTTCTCTCCTTCAGTCTGTATGTCTTGGAGATGGTATTAGGTTGATCCTAAACATGTGAATAAAAAAGGGAGAGTGATTAATGTTCATGAGGCAGAAAATAAATGATTACTTTTTGTATTAATCAGGCAATTTTGAATTGATCAAGTCTACAGTTATCCATATTTTGCTTGTGGGTCTTTTCAGAGCATGCAGCCTTCCCACTGGATAATTAGGTTAAATCCCAGCAATCTGTAGTTGTTGGGTTTAAATGCTTACTGGAAAGTTTCTTCCATACTGGTGCTCAGTGTGGGCATCACACACAGTCTACTCAGGTGTTTGCTTGCAGGAAGAAAACATTAATCAAACATCAGTGAAGGGAGGATGGCTTTCAAAACCAGTTTTAACTGATGCTTACACAATCCTGGGCTAAAATGCAGAGATAGAGAAGAGCTGATAGGAGTTTGTTACCGTTCTAATTTCAGGATGCTTAGTGAGTGCCATCTAGTGTTTGCTTTTTCATTCCGGAGCATGAAACACAGCTTTACACAACTGACTTTTCCTGTAATTGCATAAAGAACATAGTTTATTACCCTACTTTTATGGGACACTTTCTGGAGAGGAAGTTAGAGGGGCTACAATTTTCCTAACACAAAGACACAAAAATCAACAGAAGCTTCAAAAAGTTTTTATTCATCTAGTGTTTTATAAAATCTCTTCAATCCAACTGCTAAATTTTATTTCTGTTTTTATTTCCAGATCATGTATGGAACCCTAGTTTCCATTATAGTTCTACGATCTGTTTATATAGTATTATGGTAAGTAACCATTTACTTCAGCATTGTAAGATAAAAGTGTTTACCTCTTTTTTTTTTTTTGGTGGGTTTAACCTGAGAAATTGGCAATGGCAAAAATTTCTTTCCCCAGGTACATAAAGTTAGCTCATGTGCTCTGCTTGGTTACAAAGGAGTGGCTCATCTCCTTGCATTTTTTTGAAGCCACTGGGATACCATTAAACAAAACTGAGGTCCTTCACTTACAGTCAGTGTTCACTGCTTGGTGTTCTGCTGGTGGCTTCAGCTGTTAGCCTGGGACATAAGAAAAATGGAGTTTCTGTCTTCATATTGCTGGGTAACGTGAAATCTATTGCAAGTGTCCAAATTCTGACAGTGAGACTTGGAGAGAGGTGAGAGTAGGGCTGCAGAGCTGAACCATCAGGCTAGATTTTCATTTCCTGTTCCCTACTCAAGTAGCTAAAATTCAAATGTCAAAGATAATAACACAGAAGGTGAAATGATTGTTTTGAGCAGGGAATAGGTATGTGTTATGGAAATGGAAATTAAAGCTATTTAGAACAAACAAAGGGTATTAGAAATGTTAGGAGACTATGAGAAGCATTAGAATCAGCTGAGCACAGACTTGGTGAGTACAAGTGAAGAAAAAGGAATTGAACTGGTATTGGAATGAAGACACACCTTTAGGTCTCAGGGGCTGTGTTGGTTGCCCTTTCCTGTCTCTCCACTGTGAGTAGTTGGTGTTCCTGTGTGTTTGGGCATTGCCCCTGAAAATGACTGATTTCTGTCTACAGTCTTCACTCTAAACGTCCTTTTTTCTTCAACTTTGGTATGAGCTCCACACATAAGGAACACGAGGAAGGATTTGATAAAAGGTCTGAATTTCAAGTAGATTCAGTTAATCACCTTCAAAATGCAATTCAAGTTAATTTGCTCTGACTTTCCCCAAGAAGTCCACACCGACCAAGTGTAAATGTTCACAGACTTAAAACTGATAACGTGTTGTTTGTGGCTTAGGAAACAGTAATCAATTCAAAGGCACTTTTCAAACCCCTGAACATGGAAATTTTAATCCTAACACAGAGCTCTTCGATACTACCTTAATTCACTTCCAGGGAAAATGAAGTTGAATCAAGATCAAGTAATTTCAATTTTGTTCTTATACGAGGTTTTCACACGGTTCTAGTCACTTAAATTTCTTCCTTTGTAGACAAACCCTGGGGCCTGTTATCTTTCCAATTCTGCAGATTCCACACACTTGTATATTCTCATTGTTTCTGAAGCATTTCATTGTCTTCTGTCACTATCAGTAACATCACTCATTGTTTTCCTCTAGCAAATTCTGCCTCTGAAGCTCTACCCACTTTTTTCCTTCAGTTTTAGGGGTTTGGAGTGTATTCTCTTAATTAGCTAGATCACTTTATTGCAGTGTGGCCCTACAAAACCTTGCTTCTCCCCTTTGGTTATATTATACAAACTGCTTTGAAAATTGGGGTGGGGAGAGAAGTAGGTTTAAACTACTTCTGAATTTTAACTAAACTCCTTCTGAATTTTAACTGAACTACTGCTAATTTTAAATTTAGTTCTGCTAGAGAAGCTGTGCCAACCCAAAGGACCTTTCTTTTATCTAAAAGTCATCCCCAGCTACACTTCAGGATTTACTTCTGTGTGGCTAAAACATACTCCTGGCTTTCCACTGACAGTGCTGCTTGTCCAAGCTGGTTTCAGCTTACATGTCGACTCTGTTTGCTGGTTGTTTTATTTCTTACTTCCTTAAAATGTATTAGCTGCCTGTCACTCATAGTGCAGGGCTTGAAGTCACTCTGGAGCTTAGGGTAAAAATCTCAATTAACAGCATGTTATTCCTTCCTCTTATCCTCATTGTTTGTTGCTGTTCCTGCATGTTTCCCCCCCACACTTCTCATGTCTTTCTTGAGCCTGCTTCCTTCCCAAGATAACTTGGCAAATGTTGTTCTCTTTTCACAAAGCATGTTCCCCATTAATAAGTATTGCCAGCTCTTCTCTCATTCCTTCCCAAAACAGCACCATTTATTCCCTGAACAATTCTAGCTATAATTACCTAATTGCCAGCATGAATAATAAGAGAGCATTTAGTGCTCTTTCATATCCTGGGTTTGCTTGTGTCTCCAGAGCACTGAGTTGAAGTCTCTGCCATGTGCTGCCTGGTGCTCCAGGCATTTATTAGGCTAAACCAGTAATAATGTTTCTAGTTTCTATCAGCACTGCCCCTGTGAACATGTGCAGCTCTTACCTGTCAGCTTGCCCTGTGGCAGGAGCTCTGCCTGTCGTGTTTTTCACGTGTTGGTGAGTGGTCACAGCTCTGAGACAGGCACTGTGTGTGACACAGTGGAGAAGGAGCAGCTCAGGAGTGTGTTTTAATTCAGAATCACACAGTCATCAGAGTTGGAAGAGACTTCTAGAGATCATCTAGTCTAACTCCCCTGCTAAAGCAGGATCACTCAGAACACATTACACCAGGTGGGTCTTGAATGTCTCCAGACAAGGAGACTCCACAGCCTCCCTGGGCAGCCTGTCCCAGGGTTCTGTGACCCTCACAGGCAAGAAGTTTTCCCTCATGTTTAGACGGAACTTCCTGTGTTCCAGCTTGTGCCCATTGCCCCTTGTCCTGTCACTGGGCACTGCTGAAGGCTCTCACTCCATCCTCCTTACTCTCGCCCCTAAGATATCTATAGGCATTGATGAGGTCTCCCCTCAGTCTTCTCTTCTCCAGGCTGAACATTCCCAGCTCTCTCAGCCTTTCCTTATCAGGAACCCCCCAGTCGTCTTTGTTGCCTTCTCCTGGACTCTCCAGCAGTTCCCTGTCTCTCTTGAACTGGGAGCCCAGTATTCCAGAAGTGGCCTCACCAGGGCAGAATAAAGAGGGAGGATGACCTTCCTTGACCTTCTGGCCACACTCTTCCTAATGCATCCCAAGATACCATTTGCCTTCCTGGCCACAAGGGCACAATGCTGGCTGATTGTTAACCTTTTGTCTACCAAAACTGCAAGATCCTTCTCAGAACTGCTTTGCAGCAGCTCAGCCCCTAACCTATACTGGTGCATGGGGTTGTTCATCCTCAGACATGGGACCTTGCATTTGCTGTTATTCAATCTCACCAGGTTCTTCTCTGCACAGCTCTCCAGCCTGTCCAGGTCACGTTGGATGGCAGCACAGCCCTGTAGTGTGTCAGCCACCCCTCCCAGATTGATATCATCAGCCAACTTGCTGAGGTCACACTTTGTCCCCTCACTCATTAATATGTTGAACAAGACCAGACTGAGTATTGGCCCCTGAGGGATACCACTGGTTACAGGCCTCCAACTCAACCCTGCTCCATTAATCATAACCCTCTGAGCTCTCTCACTCAACCAGCTCTCAATCCACCTCACCTCATCCAAACCTCACTTCCTGAGTTTCTTCATGAGGATATTATGGGAGACAGTGTCAAAAGCCTGTTCATTTATAGTGCTTAAAAATCACTTGAGCAATATTTGATGGCAGCCTTTCATGGCCTGCTTTTGGACTTGTATTTTGAGTGGGAAAGATGTGGGAAAGATAGTAAGAAATGCTACCAGCTTCCATGTAGGAAATCTACAATTCCACAGTTTAAATGGAATGCAGAGATTGGGGGTGAGTTATTAATGGTGCATATTATTGCACCTGATGCTTCAGAACGTTTCCCATATCCTAAAGGGGATTTTCTTTCCTCCCAAAATGAAATTGACATTTTTCCATCCCTTCAGTGATAAAATACAACATGAAATGGCTGTTTTCTAAAACAAATCATTAGGTTAGTTGTGGGTCATGGGGGTCTCCAGACATTATTTAAACAAGTCCCATAGCAAAGGGATATCCTGGATTAGAAAAGAACCTTTTGGGAAGAGTCTTAATTTGTAACATGTTTTTTTTTTAACTGACACTGTAGAATTTCTACCTTTTAGCCACCTTCAGTGTTCTTATTCACTCATGTTTGGACAGAACAGCATTTAGTAAAACATTTAAAAGACCAGTGTCAAAATGTGAATTCAGGAGAGAGGGAGGTAATAATGGATGAGATTTGAAGTCAGTGTTTCTCCTTTTAGGAAAAAAAAAATAAATCATTTAATAAAGCAGTTTGTTTGTAATAGCATTGATGTGTGTTACAAAAAAGCTGCCTTTAAAGAATCTTGAACTAAACTTTGTATTATTTCTGTCTCTCCAGGGTATACCCATGGCTTAGAGGTCTAGGCTATACATCTTTAACTGTATTTTTAATGGGATTTTTTCTCTGGAATGTGGACAACATTTTCTGTGATAAATTGAGGTGAGTTCTTTAACTTTCTCCAAATAGGTCTTAATAGTCTTTTAAGATTAAGTTTTGTTTTTCTTGTGGTGTATATTCAAGTCCCTCTGAGGATGTGTGTGGTGTGCTGCTTATCAAACATTCACAAGGGGTTTTATCCACTTTGTTCATGACATGATTCATCACTCAACAGTTTCTTAACATTATGTCACACATGAACAGATTGATTTTTTTTAAATAATTGATGTTTCTCTTTGACTTCAATTGAGAGAAAGTCAAGTCACTGAAGTAATTTTGAGGATCTGTGGCTTACTAAAGCATGCTATTCACACTTGGTTTCACCTGAATGGGGGTTTTATCCTGCTTTTTTTTGGGTTTTGTTTCTGTTCTTGGCATTTTCCAGGAAAATGCCAAAAGCAGTCATTCTGCAGGTTAAAAAATATCTACTGCAGTATATCTGACACCAATAAACAAAGGCTGTTTGAATGTCTCAGAAAGAACAGTAACTCTCTGAGCCAATTTACTGTGTTTGGCTGTCACAGAATCACGGAGTGGTTTGGGTTGGAAGGGACCTTAAATATCATCTAGTTCCAACCCCCTGCATGGGCAGGAGCACCTCCCACCAGAACAGGTTTGCTGCAAGCCTCATCCAACCTGATCTGGAACATTTCCAGGGATGGGGCAGCCACAGCTTCTCTGAGCAACCTGTTCCAGTGTCTCACCACCCTCACAGCAAAGCATTTCTTCCTCATTTCTGACCTAAATCTCCCCTCCTCCAGTTTTAATCAATTGCCCCTTGTCCTCTCACTCCATGCCCTTGTCCTAAGCCCCTCCCCAGCTTTCCTGGAGCCCCTTCAGGCACTGGAAGGTGCTCTAAGGTCTCCCTGGAGCCTTCTCTTCTCCAGGCTGAGCACCCCCAACTCTCTCAGCCTGGGAGATAATACACAGTGCCTCATCTTGAGAAACACTCAATACAGATGGCATAGAAAAGTTATTTGCCAATACAAGTGGGTGGGTGTACAGTGATTTTGCAAATGTTGGCATCAGGGTTGGGTTTTGCAGCTGCATCACATCACTGGTGAGATCATAACCCCCAGTTCACTAAGCCTGCTGAGCTGCTGCAGATCTGTGGGGCTTTTGAACTTGTTCCTAAACTCAAAGATTACACCAGCTGCAGAAGCACTTTTTTCCATCCTCATTTTGCAAAGGGGGAATAAAAGTAGCATAAATCCTGTAGTGCTTGTTTGGTGGTGGTGCTGTAAAAAAATAAATACACTTGTTTACTCGCTTTATGATTCCAACCTTTGGAGAAAATATATTCCATATACTTGTGGTTTTTTATTATCTGAAAATCTAACTGGTGAATCATCCACCTACCTGCCCTTCTTTTGGTTTTTCCATATGTCATTCAATGTCAAGGTTATTTTAAAAAGCCACAACAACCACCACCAAACAAGACAAAAAAGACATCTATAGCATTCAGCTTCCCTGGTTGGATCCATGGACTTTTGAACTTGAGCTTTGAGGCTTCCTGCCTTGCAAAGGCTCAGAGTCTGTGCTAGGGTGACAGTCTATGTGTTCTGTGTCATTCACAGGCTGACTGAATCAAAGCTCTGTCTTCATATTTGTGACTGAGCAGCTCTGGAAACTGAGCAGTAGCTCAGGGGGAGTGAACCCTATAACATCAAGCAGTAAATAAATATTACAGAAGCTTCAGATTTTTCTTCCTTTACACTTGAAGTCATCATTTTCCCTATTTTATTTTGGCTGAATGTGAAATGGAAGTCAGAAAAGAAGACAGGCTCCTGCATCAACCAAAACAGGTGTTATCTGTGGAAGCCCAGTGAGCAGGAGGAATCAGAACAATGTAGTTCCTTCCCATTCTTTTTTTCCATCTCTTAACATGTTCTCAAGTAGCTCACACCCCATGACTGAATCATAGAATCATAGGGGTTGGAAGGGACCTCTGGAAATCATCAAGTCCAACCTGAGTCCAACCTTCCTGCTGCAGCAGGAAAACCCAGGGCAGGTCACACAGAAACACATCCAGATGGGTCTGTAAAGTCTCCAGAGAAGGAGACTCCACAACCTCTCTGGGCAGCCTGTCCCAGGGCTCTGTCACCTTCACAGGACAGAAGTTTCTCCTCATGTTGAGGTGGAACTTCCTGAGTTGTAACTTGGTGCCATTTCCCCTTGTCTTGTCACAGGCACCACTGAAAGAGACTGGCCCATTCTTGACACCCACCCTGCAGATATTTGTAGACATGAATAAGGTTTCCTCTTAGTCTTTTCAAGTACAAAATACAAAGCATGTTGGTCGAGTGCTTCAGACCTTTCCCTGCTTCCTCACTAAACACCCATTTTGTCCCTGTTTTAGAGCACAACAGGGAAAGGCAACCTAAGCTTCCATGGAGCTGAAGAATGGGTGGTGAAATTGCAAAATGTGAAGTGCTGATGTCTGATGGATCCCATGTCCTCCCTCAGACCTTAAGCTCTGCATTTCATCCTATGGACAGCAGTTCACTGTGTCTGGGGGAGGAGAATGGTAGAACTTAGTTGGGACTGGGATTTGAGTCTAGAAGTAACTGATCACTCTTTGTGTGGAGAAGTTTATGCTTTCTTTAAATGTGTAAGAAATCCAAGTTGCTGATACCTTTCTACACTGGGAACAAAAGGTGTAACTGCTGTTCCTCACCTGCTGACTATGTGAAGCCTCCCTCATGAAGCACGTGCCTGAGACAGGGAAACAGGAGTGTGTGATCTGACCGTTTTGAGATTGCTTAGCTTGAAAAACCAACCAACCCGTGGTGTTTCTTCCTTACAGAGCACTACGAGAGAAGATGCCTCCTGTTGTGGGTGCTGTGACACAGTTTCATGCGTGGTGGCATATTCTCACAGGCCTGGGCTCTTACCTTCATATCCTGCTAAGGTAGGAAATGTTTTCTAAACTGAATGTTCTTAAAGCAGCCTTAGGAGTTCTCCTGTGTTCAGATTTAACTCAAAATGTTTTATCAGCCAGAAAAGCTGAAAAAATTACCCCTTACTAAACTGGTGGGAGTTTTTCTTTTCTCTTTGCAGCTGATCTAAAAACTGGTCTAAAGACTCTAGGAATGTGATCATGAATCTTGAAATAGTGATGGTTGTGCAGGAAAATGCAGTTCAGAAATGTAGCAGTTTCCCTGTAGCAGTTACACTGTCCAGTAGTTTTGCAGTTTATTAATTTCAAAATATTAGCTATTAACACCTTTCTGTTCTTGACCAGCAATCCTGAAGTACCTAACCATGTTTAATTTTAGAAGCACAACTAATCTTTTGGATAGGGACTGTCTGAAAACTAGCAGACATCGTGCTGTAGAGCAGGTTGACAGCTGAAGTAGTTGGATCAGAGCTGTTCCTAGAAGTAGAGGGTATGAGTTTTAGAAAAGAGAGCCTGAGTTAGCAAGTCTGCAGCCAGCAGATTTTTCTCTCTGCCTTTGCTCTATGCCACCATCTAGTGGAACCAAGCAGAAAAATTGAATGGAAAGTGGAATCTGAAGCATTTCTGGAGTTTGTTCATTATATGATGAAGGAATGTTTTGCCACTGAACCATAAGAGAATGTCTGTTTAACAGGTTTGTTCTATGTAGTTGAGAAAACTTGAGCACAAAGCAATTTTTCTACATGTAACATAAGATTCTCCTTTTTTTTAATCAGATCTTAAAATAGCTAGTAAAAGGAAAAATGCAAGGAAAATAAATACATTTCCAGTAGCTATTCTGATAGCTTTTTTTTCCAGACATATGTTGTATATTTGTAAATATATCCATGGTATGTGGAAAACAGCTGCTCCATTTTAGCTGAGAGGTTGTCTGTTGCCCTAAGCAGCTTGAGAGAATCTTTTGAAGAAAATTCCTTACAGGAAACATGCAGAAAGTTGTGATGGCATGGCAAGGTTTTTCCAGCATGCTACACAGAGAAAATAATTTGGGTTTGCATCTTCTTGCTTTTAGGGAGTGTGCAGATGCCTGATTTGTCTGCCCTGCCCCAGTAAGCTACATGCTTTCCCTGCAGTAGTTTTCCTAGTATTTCCTTAATCACAGAGTGGCATCAGCTTTGTCTGCTTAAAACAGTGAGGTCATTCACTGGAGAACATCTGCTGAGGGGAGAGGGTGTATAAGAACAAAACTGAGATACAGAATCAAGCTGTGTTGCTTCCCGACCCCCCCTTAACATCTGCTGTGTTTTGTCATACACTGGTTTAATTTCATCCTTCAAAAATGTCAGGCTCTAGTCCCTGTTTAGGCTTTTCCATAGTGGAGAGAATTTTCTTCTCTGGGTTTCTTTCTTTCTCCCCACATAGTGGAGGGTTGATTAGTTTGCTGCCATGGTCTAGCACAGAGGGTTTACTCATAGAGTCATAGAATGGTTTGGCTTGAAAGGGACCTTAAAGATCATTGAGTTCCAACCCCCCTGCATGGGCAAGGACACCTCCCACCAGACCAGGTTGCTCCAAGCCCCATCCAGCCTGGCCTTGAAGACATCCAAGGAGGCATCACTGTAGGCTAAAGTCTCCTATTTTGCATAAATCCAGGCAGAACGGGTAGCTCTGCCATCACAGAAAAAGTTGTTTTCTAGTTAGAAGATAAAATGGGTAATAATATATCATTATTATTTTCTATGCTGGCTTATCCATAAAATTTTAAGCATCCTTTTCTCCCTTTCCTCAGTTTATATACAAGGACACTTTTCCTGAAGCACAGGCCAAAGGTGAAGGTAAGGAAGCAATATTTTGTGTCCATGAGTTCCCTGCAGCATTCAGATCTCTTGTGCTCTGAGCTTGTACTGGGACTCACTGATTATGTCTGTTGGGGTTCTAGCTTTGAGTTCTACTTACCTCCCAAGAAACATGGTTAAAATTTCTTTTCATAGAATCATTAAGGTTGGAAAGGACCTTCAAGACCTTCCAGTTCCAACCCCCCTGCCATGAACAGGGAACCACTAGACCAGGTGGTACAAAACCTCATCCAACCTGGCCTTAAAAACCTCCAGGGATGGGACATCAACAACCTCCTTGAGCAACCTACTCCAGCTCCTCACCACCCTTAGAATGAAGAATTTCTTCCTAATATCTGACCTAAATCTCCCCACTCTCAGTTTAAAACCATAACCATTTGTCCTGTCACTATTTTCTCTGCTGAAAAGCCCCTCCCCAGCTTTCCTGGACCCCCTTCAGGCACTCAAAGGTGCTCTAAGGTCTCCCTGGAACCTTCTCTTCTCCAGGCTGAACACTCCAACTCCCTCAGCCTGTCTTCATATCCAGCCCTTGTATAATCTTTATGGCCCTTCTCTGGACCCTCTCCAACAGGACTTTATCTTTCCTGTGCTGAGGGCTCCAGATCTGGACACAACATTCTATGTGGGGTCTCACCAGAGCAGAGCAGAGGGGCAGAATCCCTTTCCTGGCCCTGCTGGCCACACTTCTGTTGATGCAGCCCAGGATGTGATTTGCTCTCTGGGCTGCAAACACACACTGGTGGCTCATGTCACATATAACAGTGTTTGGCTTTTGTTCCAAGAGACATAATATTCCAGGAAATCTTTCCCCTCTCCCTGTTTTTCTTTTAACAGTTTATTTTTGGAATATGGCCTGTTCTTCTTGTGGAGCCACCTAAGAAGCTTTGACCAAGACCTAGGGAGTCTCATCAATCACCTGGTCTGGCTGAATAAAGCAATTCAACAGTTACTGTGGCTGAAGTGTCAAAATTATGGATCAATTCAAGTCCCATTGCTATAAAAGGACTTCTTTGTGTTACTAGGCCAGCTGGCCAGAACAGAACAAAGAGTTGGCACACTAGGGAAATAATGTCTAGGACAGCTTTATTCTAAGTTGTTAAAACAAAGATTGAGACACAATATTTTTATGTATATATTGTATAGCTGATGATACAGAGCTAATATTTCGTGCTGGTCACAGAAAACTAACCATTTTTGAAGTGGATTGCATACGTTTTTCATTCAGTTGTTGTTCTTTCTGTGGTTTAAACTAGTATTAGTAACTGAAAGACAAGAACAGGCCATTGATGGCCAAGCTAAGCACTTGTGTGGCCTATAGTGAACTGAATGCTTAACCTGAACTACTTTAATCTTTGCACTTTTATACAATTAATGAAGTATGTCATTATTATTTTAGGCCTTTAATCTATCTTGCTTTTCCACATTCTCCTTTGCAATTTATATTTTAAGCAAAACAGTTGGGATACCTGTGCCATTTGGTTCATTTTGTACCTACCAAGCTTCCATTTTCTCTTCAGTCCAACTAAGGTTAGATCTGGGAGGATGTTCCAGAGTGTGACTGGCAGAAGACACTTAAGATGGTGAAGCATCATAGGGATTCTTGTTTGTGTGTGCAAACTGAATTCCTCATCTGTTTGACTAGTGATCCATCAGGAGACTGCAGGGTGACTGCATAAATATAAGAAACACTTTTTAAATTTGTTAATAATTATTCTTTACATGCCTCTCTTTTCTATCCCTCCTTTTTATTCCCCGTGGTCCCGTTCATACTACAGATTGACAAGCACCTTTAGATGTGTGCTAGTTCAGCTTTGAATTAATTTCTTTCCCTTCTTTTCCAAGACTTACATACTGGTCTGACTTTCAGAAGCATCTTCTTATTCAGAAAAATGAAGAAAGAGTAAAGAACAAGATTGATGTTGAGGATGCCCCAAAATAGAATTGGCAGCACTTTGATTGCTCACTCTCTCCATCAGATGGTTACTCTGTGGAAAGTTGACCACCTTTTTAAAACCAGATTTTGGGGATTAGTGGGGGGGACAAACTCTCTGGTTTCTGCAGTTTTGGTCTACCCAGCTGATGAAAAGTTAATAAGCAGAAAGAAACCATTGAACTAACAGTTTTTCAAAATATACCTCATATTGGAGGCTGTGGGTTTGACTATTCAGATCTTGGGGCAACTAAAGGAGTCTGTCTCTGGGCCTCTTAGCTGCCTTGCTATGCAATTTTTATCTACATTTGATGTTCTGAGGGATTTATCCTTCCTGCCATGAAGAAAAATAAAAAGGGAAATGCTTTAAAACATGCCCACAGCAGCAAAATGCTGTAATGAAGCTATAAAACTGTCTCCCAGATCACAAAGTCCCAGCTAGTGTAAGTTTCCATGCTCTGGCTGCTGAAAAAGTCAGACTGAAACCTATATCATGCAACCAACTCTGACTATAAAATGGTCTCCTCCCTTTTAATATCTATTTTCTTTTTCCTGTTTGCAGTTCAGCTGCATCCTTCGTGTCCATCAGTAGCACTGATGTGCTCCAAATAAAATTGTGGGGTTTGTTATATGATTGACCCTGGACTCTTGGGATCAAATAGACCCAAACTCAGGGCTAGAAGAAGATCCTTAACCCTGAGTGACTTCAGTGAGGTTTAAGCATGTGCTGATAGCAGTGCTTTTCAAACTTTAATCAACAGCCCACTATCAGGAATGAAAATTTTAAACCAGATTTGTTGTCAGTAGGTTCCAGTCCCATAGACAAGATCAGCAGCTGTGTTAGGAAATTAGATCTTCAGACTGAAAGACATTGGAATAACAAGCATAGAGGTAGGAAAATGCTGTCTTGGATCAAGTGTCTTATTATCCAGAAGGATAAAGAGATTTGAGCACTGTTTTTAAAAAAATGTAGCTTAAAAATAAGTGCCTGCCTATTCACCTCCAGGCTCTCTCAACATTCTTCTGTACCCTGTATCCAACTTTCTTATTAGTATGTTTACATGTTCTCATAAGGTAGGGA